TTTTGTGTGGTGGCGTCTGTGGTGGTGGATCGGCGGTTGGGGTGTTGGTCGTGCTTTGTTTGGTGGCTATGGGTAGTGGCGGTGTTTTGTGTGGTGGAGGTGGCTGAAGTAGTGCCGTGGTATGTGATCAAGTATGTGGTTATCTGTGACCAAGTATTTAACTGTAACCTGAAAATTTGACAATATGTAACTGAAAAATAATCTGTGACCAACAAATTTGAAAATATGTGACCAATGAAATTAACCATTGTTTTATCTGTGACCTAAAAATTATATAATCTGTGACCATAAAAAATCTGTGACCAATTAATTTTGAAATCTGTGACCAACGAATTAATTGTGACCTATAAAATTTTTGAACTGTGACCGTAAATTGTAAATCTGTGACCAGACCAAATTGATCACCGAAATAGTCGCATGAATAATTGCCGGAATCGGAGCAATCGTCGGAGAAGAATGGTGGTTAGAATGGTCTTTAGAATAGTCCTTGGGGCGGTATGGGTGGTGCATGTGGGATATGTTAATTATATTATATTAGAATTAAATATTTAATAATAAATTGATTTAATAATTTATTATTTCATAAATAAAAAATTAAAAAAAATCTGATTTTTGAATTTTCAAACTATAAACCTGATTTTTGAATTGGTGTAAAGTATACACCTTATTTATGAATTTTTCCCTTATTTTATTGGTTTTTAAATTTTTTATGTTTTGACATATAAAAAGGTCGGTTGTTAACCAACTTCCATTTTTCTCAATAAAATCACTCACTTGTTAGCATATATATTCTTATTTCTATTGTATACATGATCACACGTTATCTTTAAGCATGTTGATATTTAAGCACTACATAACATTTAGAGTTGTAAAGTATATCTCATATAATCAATCTTTCGAATAACTTAGTTTTTTCCCTTATCAAATCTGCCTATCACGCAAAATTCCTCAACGCTTGATCCATTTCATCCGTCCCGCTCTAATCTTGTTTGAGTTTTGGCAAGCGCTTAGCCCTTGTTTGGACTCCATTAAAATGAAATTTTAAGGGGAAAAAATGTAATTTGTAATAGTGATTTTTTTAGAAAGTGTGGTTAAAAAGATGAAAGTTTTGAATTTGCATATAATATTATTTTATTGAAAAATGTATAATTGAAAATAAGAAAGGAAAAAATGTATTAAAACTAAAATGGAGCCCAAACATGATCTTAACATGCAAAAGTTTTCATTAGTTGGTAGTGCATGTAAGTGTTTGCTTTATCATATCAAATAGATTGCTCAATGTTTAGAAGTGCAATGCACTTTGAATTGTCTACAATAATCACAACTAAGGCATAATGCAGCCATTTCCTACAATAGGAATATAATATCAACAACTCTGCACATTCCTGAGTTTTTGGTGCCCCACTTTCCATTCCTTATCAATTATTGGTATCTTATTTTGATAATCTCGTTTGACTTCAAGTTAATTCAAGAATCCACAATATTTATGAAGACATGGTTCCAACCTTCACCTCCATTAAGATGGTTAATGGTAAAAATCACATCAATTAATCAACGTCTAAAAGTTTGAATTACTTCTCTTAATATAATTGACTTTTTAAAATTGTCTCTTATGTCTTTATGATATCAGATCTTATTAATTTAATTGAGCAATTTGGTTCTTCTAAAGATCAATTCAATAGTTAAATTTTAAAGTTGATGTACTCAAACAAGCCACAAATTACAAAGGAATGTTAAAGGTAAAAGTCGAAAACCATTTAACTATAACAAGATGGATATTTTTTTACCTTGAGAAGTCTCTCCACAATCCCTTTTCGACGAAATAACCATTCTATGAGTTTTATGATAAAAATAAATGTGCGAGGTCGTTTATTTAACCCTGATAACCATTTTTCCCAAGCAGCCTAAAATTAAGAATGTTTGACTTTGTGAAAGGGATGAGGTCGCGAAGGAATGTAGTGAAATTCACATACACATCCAAGGTGAAATTGAAGTGGACTTCATCTTTTAGATATAAGTAAAATGTGGCGGTCTAATGTATTTGGAACTTGATAGGATTTCTGCTTTTTGTAAAAGAGTTTTTTTGTTAAAGTTACTTTAGAAAAAATTATTCAAACATATTAAAAATAATTTTTTAATCTTATAAGTAATTTTTGATTTTTCAAAAATTCCACCAAACGAACCCTTATTAATAAGTACAATGGATATGATCCAAGAATAAAAAATTGATAAAGTACATTGATTATCCTGCTTAGTTAATTAATCAAAATGTCATTATTGTTGTTGATGTTAGACAACTGCTATTATACTTCCACTTGTCTTGTGAGTTCACAACACCACCAAACCATTTTTCTTTTCTCAATATATTAGCCACGGTTTGGACTTATATTTTTTGTTGTCGGTATTTTAATTTTAAGATAGATACTAAGTAACTTTTTGATAGGGATTGAAATTTCGATTTTAATCTAAGTCAAATTCAGTATTTAATTTTGATTATATTTTTATGTTATTCATAACTTTTTAACCATATATTTCATCAATTAATTTTGATTATATTTTTATGTTATTCATAACTTTTTAACCATACATTTCATCAATTTTTATTAAAATCTACTGAAATTTTGATTTTAATTTCCACCGAACGGGGCTAAAACCCTAATTCTTTTCA